GTGTTTTTTTTTTTGTTAATATAATGTTAATGTTGTCTCTGAATACTAACATTACAAGTGAGTTAGAGCACCTTCATGCACTTTAAACACAGTGTACAAATCAATCACCTAATAAAAAACCCTAAAAAAGTATATAAAATAATTCATTGGTTTTACATTTGAAAAGAAAAAAACTTAAAGTCAATAAAAAAAAATAATAATCTTTACTGTCTAACATTTTCTAGAATTATTAATATTTGTGGTAATTACCATTATTATTATTATTATTATTATTATAACAATGACAGTTTCTCACTTCCCCTCTCAGGGCCTCCTCACAGTACAAACAATGACAGGAGTTTGAAGTGATTTCAGACTGAAGTGATAATCTGACACCGTGTGTGTGTGTGTGTTGTGTGTGTGTGTGTGTGTGTGTGGTGTGTGTGTGTGTGGTGTGGTGTGTGTGTGTGTGTTTGTTGCAGTCACCTGTCTGCGCAGCGTGCGGCTCAGTGTGTGTGTGCGTCGGGGGGGGGGCAGGCGGGGTATGCACTCCGAGTCGGAGAGGCTGTTGGGGCTGATGGGTCTGAAGAAGTCTGCAGGGACCCTCAGCTGGGAGAGGTCCTCCGGCTGAAGCAGACGAGCCTCTGGAGCCTGAACACAACACAACAACAACACATATATAAACATCAACAAAACAGCAGGGATGGTTAAAGTACACACATCCTTGACTCAAGTAGAAGTACAGATACTCGTGTTTAAAAATACTCTGGTAAAAGTAGAAGTACTGACTAAACTGCTTACTCAAGTCAAAGTAAAGAGGGCTTTGAAATGTACTTCAGTAAAAAGTACCCATAACTAGCAGCTGTTTTAAAGAGTACCTGACCTCCCTTTATATTAATAGAACAATAATGTCATTGTTAGCTAATGAATGTTTCCATGCTGAACAACGGCAACATGACAACGTTTTCATTGGTCCCTCTTCTTTAGAGAAGACCAGGAATGATGGATACACGGATCGTGTTCAAATCAATAGCACGCAATGACTCTAAATAATATGATCACGCCACCAAACACACATTAGATGTCTTGTCTTGATATTTGTCTGTTGATGTTACACATGGAGCTGCTGTGATGCAAGTCACATTTCAGACTTGATCTATCGTATCGTTTCAGAGGGAATGACATGCATCTTCCGAGGGTAGTGTCAACATGCTTGGAAGTCATGGTGGCAAGAGAGAACAAAAACAATCTAGTAATTCATTTCTTTCCTGAGTTTTTTTACTTTAAAAAGAGTGGTCAGCTCTTCCTAGATAATCCTTTTGAAGTTCCGTATAAAAAAGGTCATCTGTGAGACAGGTCGGATAGTTTCAGATTACTCTTTGTCACTAATAAGAAGTGCGGTTAAAGTTTTGCCAGGTACAATGAAAGTGTAAGTTCCTTAAGCCCCAAAGCCCCCGTCGGCGGGTCTTTCTTTTTTTCACAAATAAAAAAAAAAAAAAAGTTTTTTTTAAATTTTTAAATTTTTTATTAATTTTTTTTATTTAATTTTTTTTTCTTTGGATGGAATGAATACCTATGGTGATAATTCAATGTAATACATCATTTTTATAGTCTGGTACCTGAAAAAGGTCAAATGGCACTGATGGAACCAGATGTACCCAAATGTGCCGAAAGCTTATTCCGCCTGGAACTTTTTTTTGCTAAATATCTCTAAAAAGGTCAAATTTAACTTGTTTTGCCTCAATCTTGATACAGGGTACTTATTATATGTTATAGTTTGGATTCCTAAAGCTTTTAGTCTACCATCCCATCATTCAAGGGTGGTTTTCACTATAAGTAATGTTTTTTCTTTAGGCGGAGGTAAGAATTTACCTTTTTTTACTATGTTCCATCTGAATTTACTCTGACTGAGAACAATCTATATTGATTCTGACACTTCTACATCCAACTCACAGATGTAACCTTGCTTTGATAAAAGAAATTATTCATATAACCCTTTTAGAAGTGAAGTTGTAGTCATTTGTTTTGGGCATGTCATTTTCGAGCCTGAAACCTGAAAAACAGGCTCGGGGCTTAACAGGTTAAGAAAGTGCCAGGTGTAAAAAAGTTCTGTGTCAATGTGCAAACTGGGTGTAATATTGGTGTAACATGGTTGTAATAGGGCTGTGATAGGGGTGTATTAATGTGTGAGGAGTAGGACTCATAACAGTGATGTATGGGTATATTAAGGCTGTAATGCGGGTGTAAAAACTCTAATTACAGGGTATATTAATGTGGGTTTAACAACCATGAAACATGGCTATAATAAGGGTGAACTAAGAGTGTACTAATATCTTAATAAAGTGCTACAAATTCCAGGTAATAAACTAAATAAGCCACCATCCTGCAACTGTAGTGTAATGAAAAACAGTCAAAGATTATTCAGGTGTTTGGTCACATGTGCTGGTTTCCATTTCCTGTGATAGGGGTGTATGTGTGAGGAGAAGGAGTAATAACAGTGACGTATGGGTATAATAGAGGTGTAATGTGGGTGTAAAACCTGTGTAATATTGTTATATTAAAGTGGGTTTAATAACAGTGTAACACCGCTATAATAAGGGTGAACTATGAGTGTACTAATATCCTAATAAAATGCCATAAATTCCAGGTAAAAACAGCTAAATATACCAACATCCTTCAACTGTAAAGTAAAAAAAACCCAGTAACAATTCTTCAGGTGTTTTCTTTTGTCACACGTGTTGGTTTCCATCTATTTTAAACTCGTTCAGTACCTGATTGGTTCCTGTGGGGGCCCCCTGTGTGCTCGGGCCCCTGGTCCTGTGCTATAATCTGATCCGGGGGGGCCGTGTTTTCGAACATGTAGCTGTCGTTGGGCAGGGAGTGAGTTCGGACCACCGCCGGCTTCCTGACGCTCAGAAGGTTTTCCTCCAGCGGCTGCTCGGGGTCCAGCTGCTCCTCCTGGGGAGAAGAGAGGAGGTCAGGGGGTCTTCACACTCTTTAATACATATTTACATTTGTTTTGAAGATGAAGGCAGAGAGGCAGTACTCATCAGCGTACACAGAACACAGACAGATCTTTGCATGTTGGAGTCGATTTGAACAGAGCTGCCACAGATCACAGAAACAACACGATGCAAGGTGGAAATGTCCACTTATGTTTGGGTGTTTTTGGTTTTAAAAGTGTAAGAAAGTCTCCATCTTGTGTCTGTATTTCCTCTTGCAGACATTCATGTGTTTGCTTGCCTCTTTATCAGAATCAGATATCCTTTAGACATTTATTTTATGATTACAGCAAAGGGGACAGTGCAGAGAAAATGCAAAATAAAAACGAGAAGATATTAAATGAAGAAGCACAAGGTAATCAAATCAAAATCTAATAAGTACATATCCAAGGAATATCAACACGTGCATTATAAGATATGAAAGTAGATATTGGAGAGTATTAGGTAGTGAAGAAGCAGCCAGTATTAACAATGTTAAACTGTCAAAATGTATATATTTATTTATTATGTTAGGCTACTCATGTTATTTTGCCGTTTAACTGCACTGTCTCTCTGCTTTTGTAACAGTGACTTCTGATGTAACTTAAAGTCTTCTCTGTGATTGTGCTTCAGCTAATGCTCACATTCACTAAACAACACCTGCAGCAAACACAGGACATCTCAGAGAAACTACTACAACATCAGAGGAGCAAAGACCACGAGAAAAACGTGGACTCACATGGAAAGCACGGAGGAAAAAGACGGAAGGAAAACTAGGTTATAAGGACACAAAGCAAACATAAGTAAGGATAAAGGAGAGAGGACTGCAGACGAGGAGGCGCTCTAATCTACTGCACTGCACTGCACACGTTAGGCTGGAGAAGTGGAGAATGAGAAGTTGGAGGAAGATGGTTAGATTTCCCAGGGTCCTTGAACGCCTCACCAGTACATTTACACATGTTGACCTATTTTACTTGAGTATTTTCATTTTATGCTACATATTCTTCATGAGGACGCACACATCAGACCTAATGCATGGAGACACGTCCTTATAGGAGATAATGATAAGAGAGCAGGAGACAAAGGACACTAACCTTCCAGAAAGTTTGTTATTTTATAGACGTTATTGTGTGCATTATGACCACTTTCTCACAATTCATTTTCATTTTAGAGAATTACAGTCAATTCACATTAAGGCAGCTGGCTCAATTTGCTAAATCTAACCTTAACATGATGTGCAATGTTAATATTCAAATAATGTGCAATCTTACCTTAATACTATGTGAAAAAATACTTTTCAATATCACGTGCAAACCCAGATTAAAGCCCTTTTAACGCAGGGATGCAAATGAGCTGTTTAGCTAACAGATTAGCTGTTTAGCTAACAAATTAGCTGTTTAGCTAACAGATTAGCTGTTTAGCTATAACAAATGAGCTGTTTAGCTAACAAATTAGCTGTTTAGCTAATTAGCTGTTTAGCTATAACAAATTAGCTGTTTAGCTAAACTAGTTAGCTGTTTAAATATAACGTTAGCTGTTTAGCTATAACAAATGAGCTGTTTAGCTATAACTAGTTAGCTGTTTAAATATAACACGTTAGCTGTTTAGCTATGACAAATGAGCTGTTTAGCTAACAAATGAGCTGTTTAGCTAGCACATTAGCTATTTGGATAGTAAATGATCTGTTTAGCTAGCAAATTACATGTTTTGATAGCAAACTAGATGTTTAGCTTTCTTATCACCCAGGTGTTTTTCAATCCAAGCCTGTTACACCGCAGTGTGTGAGAGTAGTGGGAGAGAAAGAGGCTTTGTAAGGACCCTGGGAAGGAAACACTACATGATACTGCAGAGGAAGAGGAGGAAGAGGATGGAGAGGAGGAAGAGATGATTCGTCAGTACATTGCACTCCTGACTGGATATAAAGGAAGGGGTTAGAGTCTCCGGGGCCCGAGTCGTCGTCAGATTTAGGGACCGCGATTTCTCTGAGCCCAGAGACAGAGCTTCCTCTCGCTAGAGGAATCTACAGGAGGAGACAGTGGCTGGTGAGCAGAGAACACACACACACAACACACACTCCTCCGAGAAACACACACTGATAAGGACGGTACACTTAGATTTAACATAGAAAATACAGGTTTGAGAACAACAGTTATAAAACTGGAAGTATGAGCAGAGAAGAAGAGAAAGAGGAAGACAGAAGTGAAGTTTAGGACCTTCAGACTTTTAAAACTCGCTAATATTGAATTGTGGGGTTAGTAACAGCAGTTAATAATAAAACACACACTCAAAACTAAGATGCATATTCCTGAACTGTGCAACAAGATGCAATTGGAAACAATCACACTGTAATTTCAACACACACAAACTGTGTTATAGCCTTTTTATGTGAACAATTATTATTATGTAGCCATGGGAAAGGGGGCAATATTAAAAAATACAACTCAGACATATTTTAAAAAGCTCTTGGATATCTGTGAGTTTTAAAGTGTTTAGGATTAACAAATTATCGTGCCTACCAAATTACAAATATATGTTGTGGTAAAGTCTGGGGGGGATACTTGCATCGTTGTCCCTCATAATATGCAAGGGGTGTAAAATGTTGAGAAAAACTGAAGAATCTCCAAGATTTAGGTAGTACATATGCGAGTAAAAACTATGTTCGATCACCATATTACAACCCAGTCTCACGGCATTTCGTGTTATAGTCACGACATTTAATCTATTGATTCGTGTTCACCAACACGATTTTCCCCCTTTTTTTCGTGTCACACAGAACAATTTTAAAAGCAATGTATTCTATTGGTATTGTGTTTCGTGCCTGCCAGCCACGTCTTTTTGTCCGGTCGGGTCTTGGAAGACCGGAAGCTGTGGGGTATTTTAAATTGTATAATGTCTGACTTTTTTTGCCGTCGATGAGGAAAATAAATGGGGCTCAGAGCCTCAGAATACTGAAATCTGTAATTTTTTTTTAATCTTTTTTTTCCTTCTAATTTGTTATTCTTTTCTATACACCTGGTTTTACTCAACAATAACACACAATTATCCTTGTTTTTTATTTATTTGTTTAATTCTATAATCTCTGGCTTTTTGGGCATCAGTCAGGAACTGAATTTCCAAATAAAATAACCGGAAACATGACGTAGGCCTATATGGGACATTTCGATATGAAATCCGGAAAAAAGATTCTGAGTTAGGAATGGCCGAAGACACTAGAAATGTTTTTTCCTCACGGACGGCAAATAAAGTCCGACATTATACGATTTAAAATAAAAACAATAATCGTGGCTTGATATTGAGTAAGAACATGTTTTTATGAACCACACAGCTTCCGGTCTTCCAAGACCCGACCGGACAAAAAGACGTGTTGCAGGCACGAAACACACTACCAATAGAAATACATTGCTTTTAAAATCGTTCTGTGTGACACGAAAAAAATGTGAAAATCGTGTTGGTGAACACGAATCAATTGATTAAATGTCGTGACTATAACACGAAATGCCGTGAGACTGGGTTGTAATATGGTGATCGAACATAGTTTTTACTCGCAAATGTACTACCTAAATCTTGGAGATTCTTCAGTTTTTCTCAACATTTTTACACCCCTCTCCTGGCTCACCTATTTCCCTAATGCTGCCGTACAAACAAGTAAACAGGAAGTGGAAACATTTATATTGTAGGTAGTGTTATGCACATTAATGTCAAAGTTGTGGAGGCTTAATGTTACACAAAACTCTCCAAGCGGCTATAATAGTTTGTAGTAAATCACTGGACTCTGCAGAGTTTTAGAGACAGTTTTACAGAGTTTTAAAGCCTCGGGCGGTTGTGGTTCCTGTAAGAGGAGCTGCTGGATATTCGGCCTTCTACCTGCTGCACAAAGGAAATGATTCCTGACAGGCGAGTGGGACATCCAGAGCAGAGAGGAGACAGAACTCAATGGAAAGAGGGTGGTTATGGCGTCTAAAAGGCCACATCTCAGATCCATTTAAAGTCTTCAGAAGACGGGTGGTGTCTGCTATTAATGTCATTAGCTTACATTAGCGTCTAAATGAGGATAAGAGGCACCAGGATGCATTATTCAGCGACCACAGAGATCTATGCTCATCCATGATTCATGACCTGCAGAAATGTTTTGCACAGTGTGAGCTTCTTGTTTTAGACAAAGTAGGGATTCACATATATTCACACTTGACACTGTACATGTTATATTTATATTTAATTAAACATCCCATTCCTTGCACACTTGATGTAAATAATATCCTGCATATATTGTGTATATTGTTGTTAACAGAAAAATTGGCCCTTCAATAGTGTTTTATTATGTCAGACAGTTTATAGATTTTGTATCTTCCCTGGTCATCTGTATATTTTTCTTACTCTGTAATGCTGGTGTATTTCTATTTCTGTTTTGAGATGTTTATATTTCAGAATTGTTTATTTCTACTCTTTAAATTGTTTGTTATGTGCAATGCCTTGTTTTGTACTGCTGCAACAAAAATGTTTCCCAAATTTGGATTAACAAGTACATCTTATGTTTATTATTCTTATCTTGGGGTTAGGTCCCCACACGCGGGTTTTGTGAGGTTGTGCCGTAAACTAACCTCAGGTAGGAGGACGCTCAAACAGAAAGTCAAAAGTCAATATTGTATGCTTAAAGTGGACCTATCATGCTATATTTTGAATAATATAGTGTAGGACCATACCTATATAAGGCATATTTATACTTTTTTTTTTTTCAAAATACCAAACGGATCATGCATTTTAGCCATGCCTCATTTCGCTCAATTTGACATTTTTTAGATCTGTTTTAGCAAGGGTTGATTCAGTGAGAACAGCACCACCTACAGGCCTGGCATATGTACTACAGCGTCTCCAGCGCTTTCGAACGGCAATGGCCGTGGCTGTCTCCTCCTGATTGGTGGAGTTGGCCCAATAGCCGTAGCGCCACCGTCCTGACGTCAGGACAGTGTTCAAATCTGGATCAGTTTTTATCAGATCCGTTGCAGCCCCTTTTTTAGAGATTTGGGTATGGAGGAAAATAGAGAGGGTTGTGTTTTCTGACACTTGGTGAGTTCCCTGGAACACCGGGGACACATATTCATTGTAGAAAAGACGTACAAAGTGCATTTTGCATGATAGGTCCCCTTTTAAGTGATTAATAAGTGGTGGACTTTTTGACTACAGACTGGGTCTAAACTAGCAAGCCACATGAATGTCTGGGAGCTAATTCATTTTATGAATTTTATATGCTACACAAATATGGCCAGGATCCGTTGAATTTTCTGAATATTGGGTTGAAGATTATCATTTTCAAAGGGGGGTTCGTTTAGTGTTGGGAAAATAGTGAATGTACTCTTCCAATATGAGAGTCCACATGATAACAAAGGTATCCCAACTGTAGCTGTGAACATGACAAGATGTCTGATTACCTAGAAGAGCATCAGGACTGTTTGAGGCATATGATAGCTATGTGATTAACATGATGATTCAGCCTCTATGGAGATAGACATATGACAAGCATGCTCATTCTTTCTGACGTGGAGCTAATCTGAAGTAAACATTGAATACTGCTTTCTATTCCTCCATCTTGTGACTGTGTAACTCCCTCTCTTGGATATCAGCATGTGAAGGACACTGTTCAGGAACTAGTTGATGCTCTGTATGTGATGACTACTTCCATTCTGGAGAGGATCACAAACACATGGATCCTGAGGTTGAAGCTCAAGCCGTGGGGTGACGAGTGATGTTTTTCTAACATTTAGCATGAAACACTTGAAAAACTAAGGATAAGTTAAAAAAGAAAGTAGAAAGAAAGTGAAGTCAAAGAAAACTATTTCTGCAAAAAAGTGAGCAATGATTGGAGAGTCAGAGCTAAACATTTCAGATGTGTGTATCTCACACTGCACTGTCACTTTAATTCCTTTGTTATTCATGTTTTATTATCTTTGCTTTTAAATGAGTGTTTTTTAAAATGCCCTTTTATAATATGTTTCTTATTGTCTTTCATTTTTGTAAAGCACTTTGAATTGCCTTGTGTTGAAAGGTGCTATATAAATAAACGTGCCTTGCCTTATCTTATATGAAACAGATGCAATACACCATGCATTATGTACACACACACACACAGAAGGAAAGAGACGGAGCTGAACGATTCTCTCTGAGGCTGCAGACCAGAAATCTGCCAGCCTGATGAATGCGAGTGAATACGTGACATCATGGTGGGCAACGACTGAAAGGGAAAAGAAGTGGAGGAACGACACTCTACTCGCTCTGCCATGGATCTGATGGGACTCATTATGCAGCGGACAGCCCGTCCTCAGAGCTGTGTCTCCAACAAGGCATTCTGATCCATCCATACAAATCTGAGTCACAAAGCTCATCTGCAGTCTGTATTTAAAGGGTCAGTGCAGCTGAATTAAAAAACATATTTTCTAAGTTAACTTTAGTTAAGGTGACCTTTTGAAAACTGTAAAGAAAACATCTATTTTGTATATTATTTTGTTCGCCATTTCCTTTTCTTTTCTTTGTTTAAATAGCAAAAACATTTATTTCATTTTAATTTAATTTGTAATTGTAAATTGTTAACTTTATTCCACTTTTTAAGTTTTTGTATTTTAATGTTCAACACACTGGTCCTGTAACAACATTATTTCCCAATTTGGGATTAATAAAGTATATATTTCTATCCATCTATCTATCTATCTATTTATATATATCCATCCATATATATCTATATATATCTATCTATCTATCTATCTATCTATCTATCATCATTATCTATATATCTATCTATCTATATATATATCTATCTATCTATCTATCTATCTATCTATCTATCTATCTATCTATATATCTATCTATCTATCATATCTAATCATATCCATCCATCCATCATCAATAAATCAAGAAATCATCCATCCATCCACATCCATCCCCAGCCATCCAGCCATCCAGCCATCAATCCATCCATCCATCCATCCATCCATCCATCCATCCATCCATCCATCCATCCATCCATCCATCCATCCATCCATCTATTTATCTATCTATCTATCTATCTATCAAGCTTTTAACAGCGATAGCTAAATGGGTGGCTACAGCTTAACATTGTGGAGGACGAGGGGTTGCGTTAGATAATTCGGATCGCATCCAACGTGTCGACTGCACATCACAGCGCATTATTTTGACCACACAGTTCAGTCTCATGCTTTGACTGTTATGAAGACAGAGGAGCGGCATCTCGCCGACAACTGTCAACAGGCTTGTCTGTTTGAGTGCAGAGAAGTACACAGGGTTGGGAGAGAGTGAAGAGTGAAGAGAGAGAGAGAGAGAGAGAAGAGTGAAGAGAGAGAGAGAGAGAGAGAGAGAGAGAGAGTAGTTGTATTAGTTAGATAGAGATGTAGAAGAGAGAGAGAGAGAGAGTTGTAGAGAGAGAGGAGAAGGAGAAGAGAGTTGTTCGAGAGAGAGAGAGAGTTGTTAGAGAGAGAGTGAAGAGAGAGAGGAGGGAGAGTGTGTAGCGAGGACGACGAGATGAGTTTAGGAGAGAGAGAGAGTTTAGAGACGAGAGAGAGGGAGGGAGAGAGAGTGTAGAGATGAGTGAGAGAGTGTAGAGAGAGGGAGAGTGTAGAGAGAGAGAGAGTGTTAGAGAGGAGAGAGAGAGAGAGGTTCCAGGTTGTTGTATTGAGAATATTCAGGAGAATATTTGTCATTGTTCCAATGATAATAAACAAACATTTGCATAAGTATATTTGTCCACTCATATGTTGATAAGAGTATTAAAAACTTGAAAAATATTCCTCTAAGGTACATTTAGAACAGATAAAAAATGTGCGATTAATCGCGATTAACTATTTTAATCGACTGACAGCCCTAGTAAATACCTGTAATAAAGTATTTAAAAAAATGTCTTTCTGTACTTATTTGGACTGTTTTTAAATGTAGAAATGTTCTCCATTGATACTCTTAACCTGCATTGACTTTTCTTTATCTTCTCGTGATTTTCTTGTATTTAATGACAACTCTGAAAGAATTAGACCCACTAACTGTAAGAAATGGAGGAGGTTAATCATTATTCTGGTGATTTTTATTGACCTTTTTGTCGGTGCTGTGCTCTCTGGGCTGGGGGGGCAGAGCGTAGAAATGGCAGATAGACCCGGAAAGATTATCCATCAAACTCAACTCCATCTCAGCAGAACCCTGAAGGTGGAGGAGGAGGAGGAGGAGGACAGAGAAGAAGACAAGGACAATGGAAAGACAGAGACAGGTGGATGAATGTGGAAAGAAAGAAAGAGAAGACAGTCCATCAGGTGGAAACACACAGATATACAAAGACAAAGAAACACGTACAAAACAAGATTGTGTGTCAAACTACGCCTATGTTTGTAGCCAGGTTGAAGTGCATAATAAAGCCTCTATACATCATCCAACAATCTTCCCACCACAGGCTCTCATGTGTTACCATTAACTTCCACACGGGGGCGCTACCCCCCTGCATTAGAGCTGCTCACCCCTAAACACAGTGTTCTGTAGTAACTGTGGAGGAAGACGGATAATATCTGAGCGGTAAAACATAACGACAGCGAAACCTCTGCTTCCTCTCCACAAACTTCCCCCTCTGGAAATAACTCCAGCTTTCCCATGGCACTGTGACCTGTCTGTGACTGGCAACACACACACACACACACACACACACACACACACACACACACACACACACACACACACACACACACACACACAAATATGCTGGTATGTGTCAGTATGGGTTACGCAGAATTTGTACATCCAGAATGTTTTATACTCACAGTAATGACCCTAATTTTTGGAAACATGATATATTAATGCATGGAGGGATTGTTGCCCAAAGTGTCAAGGCCCCCCCCCCTTCATTTTAAACATGTCGTATGAAGAGACATGTACCGACTAGGAGTAGTTTAAAAAAAGGACGACATGAAGACTAGCCAGGACTAACACTCGATTCGAGATGACCACAAAAAGACACAACACAAGGTCGATAAGGCCCTACATGACCACAAAAAGGAACAAGAAACTACCAAAAGAAACCCAGTGACCAGAAAGAGATGCTTAACAACTATGCAGATAAACTAAAAGACTACAAAGACCCATACAACATCTACAAATAACATTAAATGATCACAAAACCATCTACAAAGATACACAAAACAACTACAAAGAAATGTAAAATCACCACAAAAACACACAAAACGACACTCAAAAAGACCCATAACACAACTTCTGTGTGTCTTCCCATCTCATAACTCCCCCGCATAAATACATCCACTTATATTTTGAAAGGATGCCAGAATGTGTAATGAACACTTCCTAATATGGTCGTATCCTCTATAGTTTGTTTACATAACGGGCCACAGTCTTTACATCGAGACAGAGAGGACACATTCCTCTGCAGAAACCCATTAATACAGAAAGCTGTCCCTCAGCATGGACCAGATATTAAAGTTTCAGAAAGGAGTCAGAAATAATGACCGGAGACGAGGGACTCATCTGAGCAGGAAGTGACCTCAGAGCATCCGCCATGTCATGCAGTTTACACCAATCTGACCTACACGATACAGTGGTGCAGTGATGATGTCATTTGTCACCGCCGCTAAGCTAAAGGCGGCTAATGTTGGGCTATAAAGGGAACTACAGCACGGTCACATGACTTCACGTCACCACCGCTAAGCTAAAGGCGGCTAATGTTGGGCTATAAAGGAACTACAGCACGGTCACATGACTTCACGTCACCACCGCTAAGCTAAAGGCGGCTAATGTTGGGCTATAAAGGAACGACAGCACGGTCACATGACTTCACGTCACCGCCGCTAAGCTAAAGGTGGCTAATGTTGGGCTATAAAGGAACTACAGCACGGTCACATGACTTCACGTCACCGCCGCTAAGCTAAAGGTGGCTAATGTTGGGCTATAAAGGAACTACAGCACGGTCACATGACTTCACGTCACCACCGCTAAGCTAAAGGAGGCTAATGTTGGGCTATAAAGGAACTACAGCACGGTCACATGACTTCACGTCACCACCGCTAAGCTAAAGGTGGCTAATGTTGGGCTATAAAGGAACTCATTGTTAGTTTTTTGGGAGTAAATCTAAAATAAATGCAATTTAAATGTACTGCATGATGCTATAAAGTCACACACATCTTCAAGTCTTCATTAAAATCTCACCTGTTCACCGTGGCCTTTGACCCCTAACCCATCACAGTCCCCCTGCTTCCACTCCTACTGCTATTTCTTTAATTTGTATCCTCACCTCCAGCGGGGGCTCCAGACATGAAGGTGAATCTGCTCTGATGTTCACAGAGTCTCTGGGTATATCAGCAGTGGGCGACTCCATGTCTCCTCCTCCTCCTCCTCCCTCTCCTCCTCCTCCTCCTCCTCCAGACCTCCAGGGGGACCCCCCAGCGCTGCTCCTGTCCATGCCCAGGATCAGAGGGTTGTGTTGGGGGGACCTCCCCTCCATGTTGCCCCCCATCAGCTGCCTCTCCAGCTCTAGCTCCGCCTCCAGCTCCGCCTCCTCCTTGGCCTCCTTATTGCTCTCCTCCAGGTGCTTCATCAGGACGGCGATGACCACGTTAACGAGGACGAACTGAGCGGTGAGCACGAAGGAGACGAAGTAGATGGGAGAAACGACGGTGTTGTAGCAGGTGGTTATGGAGTCCTGCCCGCAGTCCCTCAACGTGTCCTGGAACCACACGGGAAACATCATCACATTTATCAGAAGGAAATAAAGTGACTTTTCTGAGAATTTGACTTTTCTTCTGAGAATTCTAACTTTTCTGAGAATTTGACATTTCTTCTCAAAATGTTGACTTTTTTTTAAATGTGATTGTTTTCTCAGAATTCTGACTTTTCTGAGAATTTGACTTTTTTCTCTGAATTGGAATTTTTTTCTCAGAATTTGACTTTTTTACTGAGAATTCGGACTTTTCTGAGAATCTGACCGTTTTCTCAGAATTTTGACTTTTCTCAGATATTTTCTGAGGATTTCACTTTTTCCTCAGAATTGTCACTTTTTTTCCAAAATGTGACTTTTTCTCACAATTTCACTTTCACAGAATTATTTCTAAATCCTCTCTGAAAAATAATTTCTAATCTCATGTTTATCTTCACCATCTTAAACATCAGTTTTAGTTTTACCTTCATTATGCCGTTCCAGTTGTCTCCAGTTGAAACTCTGAAGAGCAGCAGGAAAGCCATCCCAAAGTTCTTGAAGGTAGCGTAGCGTCCAAGACCTTCACACGGATGCAGCTCATCACAAACTGTGGAGAGGAGGAAGAGGAGGAGAAGGAGGAATGAGGAGGGGATGAAGAAGAGGGGGAGGCATGAAGATAACAACTTTGCAGTTAAATGTTATTAGCTAAACGAGAGAAATCAATATGGCATTTCAACAAAGCAATTAATCATGAAATACTGAATGCAAGTGTAAGCTTTATGCATGTGTGTTCATCTGTGTGTGTGCACTATCTCCTGAAATGCTTGTATACATGGAGCATGCGTCCTTACTCAAGTCACCAAACAGCTCCACTCCCAGCGCTGCGAAAATAAAGAAGAGAAGCATGAAGAGGAGACCCAGGTTCCCCACCTGCAGAGACACACAGGAAGAGAGAGAAGTTAGGAAACAACAACAACAACAACAACAAGGAGGGACAACAGAGTCAATTAATGGAGGGTGACGAAGAAACCAAGAAAATGCAATTCACCATTTGTTAAACTCACTTTGAGCATTGATTGTGTTGTGATTTGAATCAGGTAAGATAGGCCTTTCAAGCTTTGCATATCCCTGTGTGTTAAGGAGAGGTGTCATGCTTTTCCGGTTATTACCCGTCCCCTTGTGTGTTATGAAGGTTTTTATGCATGTAAACGGTCTGCAGAGTCACAAACCCTCAAAGTACACCCTGTAGCGAGTAAAACTCTAACACAGAAAATACCTCCCCAAAACGCCTCGTTGGAGATACGTCATTGTCCATTTGATTCTTCCGGGTACGGCATGATGTCATGCCGTACCCGGAACGAAATGGACCAATCTGTGGAGCCGTTACGTTACGTCCGCGGAGCCGTTACGTTAAGCCCCCGCTGATTGGTCCAAATTGACCAATCCACGGACTTCCTCACACACACATCTGTGTGCAGGGAGCAGGCAGCTCAGCTGATTTCTCCTCCCTGGCTGCAGGCTGATAACAGACAGTTGGGAAATTCTCTCTGCAGACCCATTCTCACTGCGTTTATCAACCTTTTTCTTACTCAATATCAAGCCACACTTATTGTTTTTACTTCGGCTGTGACTTTGTGTGTGCTCAGGATGAGTTTGGCTGTGTTTCGCTATGTATCCTAAACAAGGAAACAACACCTCCACGGAGCTCAGCGCGATTCACAACGTCCCGACCAATCAGAGCACACTGTGCTCACAGGGAGGGTGGGGGTGGAGCTTTTGGAGCTACAACGAGCCGTTAAAGGCAGAGAGTGAAATTCAGTGAATACAAGTAGTTTACAGAGATGCTGTATGAGAAACCAATGTGAGTTTGGAAAAATGCACAATATAAATCTATTCTAGTAGACCTCAACAATGGAATTATGATCAGTGGAAATGGCCATGACACCTCTCCTTTAAAACATTGATCAGAGAGAAACTCCACATGTAAAGAGTTTCTAGTTTTCCAAAAACAGCATATAACGGTGTGTTTATCTGCTCTAACACACGCTGCTATTTACTGGTGGAAAAAAGAAAAATCTGTGCCGACAACCAGCGTTTCCACGATGAGGTTGGGAGTCGTTTCGAGATATTACTAATTTCAGTAAAGGCCTCAAAACGTCTCGGTTGTGACCAATAAGCAATGCAAAAATAAGAAATAGTTGCCTGAGAACATTTAGGTTCATAACGGTAGCAGTTTCTAGACAGACAGACGACTTGGTATTGTTTCCGTGGTGTTTGCCGGCCATTTTAGGCCATTTTGAACACCACCTAATGCAGATCAAGAGGTCATTTGACATATTTCTATGAGATCTGGCAGGGCTTTTTGGGCTGGAACATGTTGTTTTTCTTGAGGTAATCTGCTGCCGTTATTACAGTAAACTGAGTGAAGCAAAGTCCATCTACAAATATAAGGAACTCTCCTGGAATATATGCTAAATATAAGAGAGAATAACAGCTTTGAGTTGGGTTTAGGTAATACAAATGTTCACGGCTGCTGATCCTGTCGATGCAAATCAGCATACTTTATTGTAGACAAGTAGAAATACTCAGATCTTGTACTTGAGTAAAAGTAGAAGTACTCAGATATTGTACTTGAGTAAAAGTAGAAGTACTCAGATATTGTACTTAAGTAAAAGTAGAAGTACTCAGATCTTGTTCTTGAGTAAAAGTAGAAGTACTCAGATATTGTACTTAAGTAAAAGTAGAAGTACTCAGATCTTGTTCTTGAGTAAAAGTAGAAGTACTCAGATCTTGTACTTGAGTAAAAGTAGAAGTACTCAGATCTGGTACTTGAGTAAAAGTAGAAGTACTCAGATCTTGTACTTGAGTAAAAGTAGAAGTACTCAGATCTTGTACTTGAGTAAAAGTAGAAGTACTCAGATATTGTACTTGAGTAAAAGTAGAAGTACTCAGATATTGTACTTGAGTAAAAGTAGAAGTACTCAGATCTTGTTCTTGAGTAAAAGTAGAAGTACTCAGATCTTGTACTTGAGTAAAAGTAGAAGTACCAGAGTGTAGGAATACTCTGTTTCAGTAAAAGTCCTGCATTCAAAATGTTCCTCAAGTGAAAGTAGAAAAGTATTCTCATCAAAATATAGTGAAAGTAGCGACAGTAAAAGTAGTCATTTTTGGTCCATTTCAGAATAATATATATGATATGTTTTATAATGATTGATCATGAAAGTGTTCTCAAAGCTGGTAAAGGTGCAGCTAGTTTGAATGACTTTGTATACTGCAGGGTAGCTTGTGGATTTACTCCAGGTGGAACTAAAGTCTGATTTAACACTTGATTATATTTCACATCATTCATCCACATCTGTAAAGTAACTAAAGGTATTAAATACATGTAGTGGAGGAAAAGTACATCAGTTACCTCTGAACTGTAGTGGAGTAGAAGTATATAAAGTAGCATATTATCAGATGTATTAATCATGAACCCTTCTGACAAGCTCCAGGAGGAATTAGCCCCCAACACACACTCCTTCTCTCTGAATGACAGACCGAGGTAGAATCAAAGAAGAACTGAGTGTTATTGCTTCTCTCTGCAGAAGTTGTTCTAATTTACCAAACTCACATCCACCCACCATGCTTCAAAACAAAACCCGAAGCCACCGTCACTTCCCCATCGCTGCAGGAGGCGGGTATGCAAATAAGAGTCTAAAAAAAGCTCCTGGGAAACAGAGACGCTCGGAAACACACAGACGACTATACAGTATGAACCAAAAAAAGGGAATTCTCCTAGGATGTAACGTTAGGGACGGCCTCAGTGGGACGTGTTGGAGATGAAAGGCGGTGCAGGAACATCAGGAGGAAGGGAAAACAGGATTTAATGATTTGTTTAGGTAGATTTTCTTTTTAACTACCTGAGGCAGGGCTTGCATAACGGTGTCCAGCAACGCTCGCATCCCCACCGCCATCTTCAGGAGCTTCAACACTGTGGAAACACACAAGAACACACAGAGAAAATGTAGATATTGTTTACCAATATTAAAATCAGTGTTATGTAATCTCCCTTACTTACAGACTAATCCTGTGAAAGTGTTCGAACAGATTCAATTTGACTTAACGACATTGAGCTTCAGATTGAGGTCATATCTTTCTGATTGAGGTCGCAGTTGGATGAGGTATCTACTGGTTGGAAATTCTCACTTCGAGCATTGATTGTGTGACTATAGCTTAGCATTTTAACGAGTTAAGATAGACTTTTCAAGCTTTGCATATCCGTTTGTTAACATTTTTATCAAAGAGATTCTCCGTGTTTAAAGAGTTTCTAGTTCTCCAAAACAGCAGAAGATGTTGTGTTTATCTGCTCTTACATACGCTGCTCTTAACTTGTTTAAAGAATGTAAATTCGCGTTGACAACCAGCGTTTCCACGATGAGGTTTGGAGTCGTTTTGAGATATAACTAATTTCAGTAAAGGCCTCAACATGTCTCCCTTGTGACCAATAAGCAATGCAAAAATAAGAAAATAAATAAAATAAGAATCTAAGGTCTCATTCACACCTATAGTAATAGTCGCTTCTCAGGTGCGCACCAGACGACAGTTTGTTACATTGTGTAATTTTTCAGAAGGCTCGGTTTGCGTTCACACGGGCAAAATTCAGACGGACTATAAACTTTAAACACAAGTCATGTGCTCGGAAATGCTGTTCAACCATTGGTCAGACATTAAGGGGGTAAAAACGCAAATCCCGGCAATTTCTACCGGAGCCTCCGCCGTGGACTTTCGGCAGGTTATTTTCATGCTGCTGTTAATCTGGAGAGCATATCAACAGCAACGGCGCATATGATTATACAATCAGACAACGTGCGATACAAAACATTATAACACATATAATGAGAGACGTTCTGCAGTCAGGAGGGGGTTTCACCGACGGCAGGTGGCTCTGACTTTTATGTATAGTTTTAAATTTGATAGTTGTTTTTACTTTACACGACACGGTTCAACAAATCATTCTGCTTCACTCTTTCACTAAAGAAATGAAGACACCCGCGTTCTTGTGACATGTAAATACTACGCTTCCTATGTTTTGGTGCGGACTGCGTTCACACCAGCGATGAACCGCTCCAGAGTTCACTAGCAAGCGTTCCGAGACCACCTCTTTTAGCGGACCAGAGTCCGGTTGTTGAGTTCACTTCAGAGGTCTCGGACTGCGTTCACACCGACCCAAACGAACCGCACCAAGCGGGTAAACACACCAGGGTTCGATTCAACCGGACTATACAAGGCTGGTGTGAATGCGACCTGACAAACATCCGAAGTTCAACACTGAACTTTGAAGCAAATCGTGGAGCCGTGTGCAAAAAGGGTGAAGCGTTTCCACATTGACAAAACCATGATGGTCTTGTACCGTGTTTTTATTGAGTCCATTCTGTCTTTTTCTTTAGTGTCATGTTTTAGTTACCTATGTCTTAAACAGCAGAAACTCTCTTAGTCAGATTTGTAACTTGCTAAGTGAAGTTTATTAGAACATGTAAATATTGTTTACCAATATTTAAATCAGTGCTATGTAATCTTCCTTACTTACAGACTAATCAGTGAAAGTGGGAAAACAGATTCCATTTGATTGAATGACATTTGGCTTCAGATAGCCTGATTGAGGTCATAGCTTCCTGATTGGGGTCGCAGTTTGATGAGGTCACAGGTATAGTGATTGGGTACCAATGGGGGTACAGAAAGACTGATAGATAATGGAAAATAATAAATGGAAAAGTAAATGCACCAAAAAATGAGCTTTCTCTTGGCCTAGTAAACCCAACGTTAGAAGATGTAAATGTTTTAACAAGTGACTCTGAAACAGTTTACCCCAAAATTAAAAACTTATATTTTTCAGATTACATTAGATTTACTTTATTGATCCCAAATTGTAAAATTGTTCTGTTACAGTAACAAGTGACAAGGTTGGTTGGTTGGTTGGATGGATAGATAGATGAATGTATGGATGTTGGTTGGTTGGATGGAGAGATAGATGAATGTATGGATGTTGGTTGGTTGGATGGAGAGATGAATGTATGGATGTTGGTTGGTTGATGGAGAGATGGATGTATGGATGTTGGTTGGTTGGATGGAGAGATGAATGTATGGATGTTGGTTGGTTGGATGGAGAGATGGATGAATGTATGGATGTTGGTTGGTTGGATGGAGAGATGGATGTATGGATGTTGGTTGGTTGGATGGAGAGATGGATGAATGTATGGATGTTGGTTGGTTGGATGGAGAGATGGATGTATGGATGTTGGTTGGTTGATGGAGAGATGGATGAATGTATGGATGTTGGTTGGTTGGATGGAGAGATGGATGAATGTATGGATGTTGGTTGGTTGGATGGAGAGATGGATGTATGGATGTTGGTTGGTTGGATGGAGAGATGGATGAATGTATGGATGTTGGTTGGTTGATGGAGAGATGGATGTATGGATGTTGGTTGGTTGGATGGAGAGATGAATGTATGGATGTTGGTTGGTTGGATGGAGAGATGGATGAATGGAGTGAACAATGGATGGATGGAAGAAAGGAAGGAAGGATGGCTGGATGTTGGATGGTTAGATTGATGGATGGAAGAAAGTATGGGTAGATAGATAGATAAGTAGGTAGGTAGTGGATGAAAGAATGGATGCACAGATGGATGGATGGAAGGTGGATGGATGGTTAGCTAAATGAATAGGTGGATAGGGTGATGGTTTGAGGAAGGGATGAAAGAAAGCAAGTATTAATGGATGGATGAATGGATGAATGGATGAATGGCAAGGCAAAGAAAATAAACAGTAAATATATCAACAGTAGTAGAAAACACTTTAAGGGACCAGTTTACTTCCAACAAAATATACATATTGGATACTTAATGCTGAATACAAGTGTGCTGAATATAGAAAATATAGAAAGGAATTAGGGTTATTGAAAGTGGAAAACAGTGGAGTTCGGTTAAACAATTTAAAATGAACCAAAGAAACTATAAAGCTACCCAGATTCATCGCTGTTTGCAGAAAATAGTTTTTCTTTTAGCTGTATTCATCTCTAATATGATGGAGCAAGATGGCATTCAGAAACCCAACAGCGATGTGTCTTTTCAGAAATATTGACAAAAAGCGCTGGAGAAACACTGACTTCTAACTCCATTATTCACAGTTTCCATCACTATGTCTGTTCACTTTGGAGAGGACAAGACGTCTCAGGAAATGTTAATCCTTCAAAATGTCACCAAACCCTTTCTGTTGTTATTGTGTTGTTTACAAGACCCTTAGCTGTGCGTTTACCTTGACATTTACCTCAATTGAACCTCCTCAACCCTTGTCCTCCATTTATTCTCTCCCCAGATCCACTGTCTGCTCTCTGCTCTCATTCCTCTCTCCATTAATCTCTTCCTCATTCACTTTTTTACACTCTTCTTTCCAACGTCTTCCCGTCGTCTCATAATCTATTTTCAGGTCAGAAGATATTAATCATCCTCCTTTTATTCCCCTCTCTCTCCTCTAATTTATTCCCTCCATACCTAGTCTCAGTTTAATTCACTTACTGTCATAATGTGCTTTGCAGAGAAGGCAAAAGTACACACATCCTTTACTCCAGTAGAAGTACAGAAACAAGATATGGTCTTGTTCTACCGTGCTTTTCTTAAAGGAGAGGTGTCATGCTTTTCAGGTTATTACCCGTCCCCCTGTGTGTTATGAAGGTTTTTATGCATGTAAACGGTGTGCAGAGTCAAAACCCTCAAAGTACACCCTGGAGCGAGTAAAACTCTAACACAGAAAATACCTCCCCAAAACGCCTCGTTGGAGATACGTCACTGCCCATTTGATTCTTCCGGTACGGCATGATGTCAAGCCGTACCCGGAACGAAATGGACCAATCAGTGGAGCCGTTACGTTACGTCCGCGGAGCCGTTACGTTAAGCTGATTGGTCCAAATTGACCAATCCACGGACTTCCTCACACACACATCTGTGTGCAGGGAGCAGGCAGCTCAGCTGATTTCTCCTCCCTGGCTGCAGGCTGATAACAGACAGTGGGGATCGCGGCGAAATTCTCTCTGCAGACCCATTCTCACAGCGTTTATCAACCTTTTTCTTACTCAATATCAAGCCACACTGTTTTTACTTCGGCTGTGACTTTGTGTGTGCTCAGGATGAATTTGGCTGTGTTTCGCTGTGTATCCTAAACAAGGAAACAACACCTCCACGGAGCTCAGCGCGATTCACAACGTCCCGACCAATCAGAGCACACTGTGCTCACAGGGAGGGTGGGGGCTGGAGCTATTGGAGCTACAACGAGCCGTTAAAGGCAGAGAGTGAAATTCAGTGAATACAAGTAGTTTACAGAGATGCTGTATGAGAAACCAATGTGAGTTTGGACAAATGCACAGTATAAATCTATTTTAGTAGACCTCAACAATGGAATTATGATCAGTGGAAATGGCCATGACATGGGCCCTTTAAGTCAATTCTGTCTTTTTCTTTAATGTCATGTTTCAGTAACCTTTCATTAAACAGCAGAACCTCTCTTAGTCAGATTGCTGAGTCGTTAAGTGAAGTGAATGTATGGTTTTGATTGTTCACGTTTGTTCGAGTGGTTTTTAATATGCTGGATCTTCAGTACTGTTGTCCGATGAATGTTGTTTGAAACGTGTGTCACAATGGATACGGTGTCTTTTAACTGCGAACCCAATCTACCTACGAGGACAAATGAAACCCCCTGAACCTAAAAGGATTGAAGAGTTATTGTTCTCACCTCGTGCGATCCTCAGCACCCTCATGATGCGGATGATAGTCGGGTTGATGGGCAGAGTGTTTCCATCGATCTCCTCCAGAGTGATGCCCATGATGGACAGCAGCACGATGGCCAGATCCAGCTGGTTCCACCTACACACACACACACACACACACACACACACACACACACACACACACACACACACACACACACACACACACACACACACACACACACACACACACACACACACACACATTTCACTTTTAAACCATGAAACGAATGTTTAATAATCTGACGACAAAAATAAAAACATTTGAAATTACAATTTGGACTTCCAGGACTCTTGAGAAAGCGAAGCCAATATGTTTGGAGAAGTTAACTACCTAAAGAACGTAACAAAGCATGAGATATAAATTGCCAAAATCCACTTAACGAATAGTTAGAGGCTTTTATGCTACGATAAAGATCGATACCACATTTAGCTGAGGTTAGCTTAGCTTAGCATACAGCCTGGAAACAGGTAGGAGATGCTAGCCAGGGTCTTTCAAAGCTAACTAGCGGTTTCACGGTGACAAGATACGTGTTAAGTATTGGCTTTTTGTTAATTCAGGCAAAGGCAGGCTAGCTGTTCCCATCCTTTCTAACTGTATGCTAAGCTAAGCTAATTATCTACCTGCTCTAAGGTCATATGTTGGTGGTGTCGATCTTCCAACCGTACTTTAAGAAACCTAAGAACTGTATTTCACAGCATTTAAAACTGTTCCCTTGAAAATGTGCAATATTTTTGGAGAATGATCTATTCTTGTAACTGTTTTGGTTTAGATTTAAGACTTTTGTCATAAATGGAAGAATGAACCTTTAACATGTCAGTGAATCATTTGAAAACTCCCCATACTTGCTCAGCCAGAGGAGCTAACAGAAGATGATATATGACTCAATGTTGAACCATACAGACACTAGAAGAGCTGGTTTGATAACGTCTTTATGGACATCTCCAAACGTTCTTTCTGCCGTGTCACTACATTGCAATAAAAATGCCCAAATTCCAAGCTCCTTTACGGCAGTGCTTTGTAGAGGAGCGAACCAAAGCATTGTTTTTACAGCCTTTCGACACACAGTTAACTAATCACATACACTTTACATTTAGAGACAGAGTGTGCAGAGTATAAGGCTGATTAAAAAGCTGCAATGCTATCATTTAGTATTTCATAACGATCAGGATACACTCTTTTCCAGGTACTGAGATCTGAGCAATCTCATTTGTTGGAACCAAATCTTATTTTCCAACGCCCCGGACAATAAATAAATACAGCTGAACAAAATGTTTGGAACAAAAGGAGAGAATAAAAAAAAGCTCATTGGAGATATAATCAGCTTTGTCCAGAGTTGATCCCTTACATCTTCATTTAGATACTCAAAGTGTGTGCATCAACACAACCTACAATCCAATGAGGTATTTAAATTAGTCCGGAGAGTCTTTGGCTAATGTTGTGTTTTTGTGTAATATCAAAATGGACCGCTGCCAAATGCAAAAAAGGATAATCTGGCACAGAGAGCGGACATCATGGAGCCCTTGGTGGTCCAAAAACATGAACGTGTGTGTGTGTGTGTGTGTGTGTGTGTGTGTGTGTGTGGTGGTATACAGTTGTTGTGATTGTGGTGTGGTTTTCAGCGGGAAGCCAGGGATTTCAAAGCTATGAAATCATGTGAGGCGGCGTGTTTTATGGGGGGTTTAACGAGGTCGTTTGTATTCATACGAGCCTCTCTGAGAAACCATCCGACAGAGAAAGATGATTTAAGCTCTCCCAACGCTAACTCACATTTTCCACATGACTCAGAGGTTAGAGAAGGTACCTTTTAACCGCTTTTTACATTTAGGAGGTAAACGGTTATTCAGAAATGTCCGTCTCTGCCTTCCTTATGTATCACCTTTAATTTAACTCAATTTTTTTTTTAGTGTTTTCAAATTGTTCTATTATTATTTATATATATATATACTTTTTCTTTTTAAGGTACATGATAAGGCATGTTTTTTCTGAATTGTTTTATTTATACTTTATGTAAAAAATAAGTTTGTAATTGAAGAAAGTACATGTATGGACATCCTCCTAGATCAATAAATAATACGAAAAAAACTTAAAAGGATCATGGCAGTAATTGAAATACTCACTTGTCTTTAAAGAAGCGTCTGAACCCAAACGCCACGAGCTTGAAGACGGCTTCCAGAACGAAGATGAGGGTGAAGATGTAGTTACAGATCGTCAGCGCCTGCTCCAACTCCTGAGGAACGGACAGGGATACAAATATGAAGGATTAAGCATCCATTTTAAAGTCAGTAAGCCCAGCATTACACTTTCTGTTATCTGAGCAGAGTTTCGTTGCCACTCGTTTAATGAAATGTGCTGAATCTGCTCTGTAAAACAACCTCACTGTATCACTGTTTCGTTCTATAGAGGGAAACACTTTCCAATGTGACCCAGTGACACTACATGGCTCCTTTTGGTTTGTATTTTGGCTGAGTCGATTTATATTATTCCACGTCTGCATTGTAAACTCTGTCCTCTCCTACAGAATGAGCCTTTCCATGAATAGATTTCCTCACATCGTCCGTCCCCTCCCTCTTTCTCCATGAAAAGGCCATTAGGATTGGGGCATTTCCACCATGGCGCGGAGCGCGGTTTAAGCGTGCCGTGTCATGCCGGGCCCGTTTTTGGTTGCGCTTCCACTAGGCCTAGTTCCGGCCCGGGGGTACTTTTTCACCTCTTTTCTGGCCCGACAAAATTGTGGTTCTATCGGGGCCAACAAACAGGGCTGAGTCGGGCTGAGTATGCTAAACTAGAGAGAGAATCGCTGGCAAGGGGGCTACAACTACAACAAGATGAACATATTTGACCGTGATTTAATTGTAATACACGTTTCTAATTGATGCCGAAGTAACAACATACTGATACCGGTTAGTAAAAACCATGAATTAATGCTTTGACAAGTCTGCAGACAGACGGCAGGCGAAGAACCTTTTAAAATGCGTGTTTTCTAAATGGAGATCGGCTAAGCTAACGCAGTATATGCTCCGATCGTCCACACTCACAACAACGGCCTACAGACATAAATAAACCAGCGACTGTACTCACCATGACACAGGCAGTCTGTGGTTTGTACTTGTTTAACTTTTGTCTAGTTTCTGAACAGATATGAGGAGCTGTGAGCTCTGAGTGCTAACAGCTAACGGCTGTGTTGTTTTTCTGGGGTTCTCATTGAAGATGACTTCACGGCTCCGCCTACACTGCGTTACTATAGTAACTACCCCAGTTCCTAAACTGTAATGGAAGCGCAGCATGAAGTGAGCCGGCCCTAACAAGGCCCAACGCGGCCTAGCAGTACCGAGCGAGGCCGAGGCCGACCGTGTGGTGGAAATGCGCCAAAAGTGTCTGTTTTTGCCTGTGGGAGAATTCACAGTGTCCACCTGCATGTAAAAAAGGACCTTTACATTACATGTCTTTTGTTAGATGCTTTTATCCAAAGCGACTTACATACATTCAATACTGTGGACAATCCCCACAGGAACAATTTGGGGTGAAGTGTCTTGCCCAGGGACACAACGACATGCTGACTGCAGTGGGACTCGAACTTGCTACCCCCTGATTCGAAGTCCAGCACACTATCCACTGAGCCACAGCCGCCCCCTTTAGTGACCTTGTTTGCAATCCCTTGTCTTTTATGCTGCTGCAACGCAAACATTTCCCAAATTGGGATCAATACAGTACTTCTTATCTTAAATAACCTTCAGTTTCATGAAAACATAGATAGTTTCTAAAGATGGAAAACATGGCTATAACCCAAAAGTGAAGCATATTCCTCCTGGTGAATAACTCCATGTTAGCCGACGGGACAAACTAAAAAGTCAAATATAATGTCAAAAACATTTCTCCAATAGGTAGTCTCTGCCATTTTAGGTAGTTCTTATCACCATAATGTAAGTTCAAGTGTTATTTGTTCTGATAAGTTTGGTTTGTTTGGTTATTTATTGCTATAAAAAGGTGTGAGACATCATGATTGAAAGGTTGACAATTACAGTCTTGGAGCCATAGCTTTAGGAATTGAACCTAGAGTTGTATGGGGTATGAGTATTTCCTTTAACTTTCCATCACCTTGATTGTCTGTTATACAAACTAACTGTATTTAAGGATATTTTTATACAGTATATGGTTAGTACATTCACTTCTGAGAGTCTTGCCACCAAATGGCGTCAAATGGCAAGATGGCGGCACGTGTATTCTAGATATTTTGGCTTCATTTTTGTGCAGGGGTAATATTTGGAACATCTTTATATACACTACAGTCTTAAGTAAAAACAAACGTTCTTTTCTCACCCAGGATAATTGGACTATACTTCCTACTTAAACACCCCGGTTACCAATGGACCCCTTTCCTATCTTCCATGCCCAATTACGTCCTCATTTGCCTTAAAACCCCTCATAGTAATCTTAAATATTCTTCTTCTGGTTCCTCTCTCTTCCATGCTGTGTTTTGTTTTACTCTCTTTGAATTGAGTTCTTCTACCTCTCTCAGCCATCTTTTGTTTTACACCCTTCCTCAGCAGGTGGCCAACAATATGTTGAAGCCATTTAAACATTTCTGGAATATGAGTGCAAGACAAATCCCAGTTGGAACAGCTGCCAGGTGGCGATTAACATATGGGCAATAAATCCTAAGTATCCATAGCAGACCTTAGTGTGGATTCATGTGATTTATATGAGGCGTTGAGTTCACTCGATGGGCAGATTTTGTGGTACCCCAGATAACCTTCAATTCAGTTTAAAGCACTATGGTTTTCGTTCTTTTATGGACTGTATAATTGCCTCGTAGTCATTGTTTCAACCTCCCTTTTATGATCCACCGCTGCCTTTCTTAGAATACTTTTCCAATTCTCATCTTATTTTATTTCTTTTTCTGCTGAACTGATTATTTTCTCACCCTTGTTTCAAGAACTGGTCAAGGTGTTGGAAAGGTTTATTTTTATTATCATTATTGCCTTTTTATTATCATTGGCACAGCTTGTAAACCGGAGACTATGTGAAGCAATAAACCTGTTATTCCAGGAAGATATAAATTAATATTACAATGACGTTTAGTTTTAAAGACCGAATATTCTGGGCCAATGATGAAACACATTCTCAGTACCAACATCTCAAATACATATGCTTGGTCTCAGGCCAAATGAGGACATGAAGTCATGTCAAAAACAAAATCCAATGGAAAAACCCCATTGGTTTTCAGTAGAGGGAACCATTGCGATGCTAATATCCGCGTTACAAGAATATGTCATGTAAACTTAACACAAAAAGTAAGAACATTTGTGTTTGGTAGACTATTTCTTTATTGTAACAATGCTTCTTGGCAATAAATATTCCTCCGTTGGAAAGCCTGTTTTCTTACCTTTCAAATGTTGTCACATTTGTGAGGAACATGCATTTGTGAGATGAGCAGCAGAGCTGAGTATTTTGGTTGCGCTCATGAAAGATGTGACAAATCTCCACTGCCAATGCCACACTTTTTGCTACTTTTTGTGTTAAAGGTCACCTATTATGCAAAATCCACTTTTTCATGTCTCTTCTACATCAACATGTGTCCCCTCTTCTTCATGTCTCTTCTACATCAACATGTGTCCCCTCTTCTTCATGTCTCTTCTACATCAACATGTGTCCCCTCTTCTTCATGTCTCTTCTACATCAACATGTGTCCCCTCTTCTTCATGTCTCTTCTACATCAACATGTGTCCCCTCTTCTTCATGTCTCTTCTACATCAACATGTGTCCCCTCTTCTTCATGTCTCTTCTACATCAACATGTGTCCCCTCTTCTTCATGTCTCTTCTACATCAACATGTGTCCCCTCTTCTTCATGTCTCTTCTACATCAACATGTGTCCCCTCTTCTTCATGTCTCTTCTACATCAACATGTGTCCCCTCTTCTTCATGTCTCTTCTACATCAACATGTGTCACCTCTTCTTCATGTCTCTTCTACATCAACATGTGTCCCCTCTTCTTCATGTCTCTTCTACATCAACATGTGTCCCTCTTCTTCATGTCTCTTCTACATCAACATGTGTCCCCTCTTCTTCATGTCTCTTCCTACATCAACATGTGTCCCCTCTTCTTCATGTCTCTTCTTCATCAACATGTGTCCCCCTCTTCTTCATGTCTCTTCTACATCAACATGTGTCCCCTCTTCTTCATGTCTCTTCTACATCAACATGTGTCCCCTCTTCTTCATGTCTCTTCTTCATCAACATGTGTCCCCCTCTTCTTCATGTCTCTTCTACATCAACATGTGTCCCCTCTTCTTCATGTCTCTTCTACATCAACATGTGTCCCCTCTTCTTCATGTCTCTTCTACATCAACATGTGTCCCCTCTTCTTCATGTCTCTTCTACATCAACATGTGTCCCCTCTTCTTCATGTCTCTTCTACATCAACATGTGTCCCCTCTTCTTCCTGTCTCTTCTACATCAACATGTGTCCCCTCTTCTTCATGTCTCTTCTACATCAACATGTGTCCCCTCTTCTTCATGTCTCTTCTACATCAACATGTGTCCCCTCTTCTTCATGTCTCTTCTTACATCAACATGTGTCCCCTCTGTGTAAAGAGATTCTGAAAGTTTCAGGAGAAAAGATTCTCTCTCTTTTTGTCCTGATCCATTTATATAAAAACCTGTCTGAAAATGAGCTGATCAGATTTGGGCCACTTTATGATGTCATAAAGGCTTGTGTAACCATTAGCCAATCACCAACCAAGGTAACCCCCCCCCCCCCCCACCTTATCACCTGAATCTCCTCCTAGAGCACCATTGTGTTCTTTGTAACCAAATCTCTCTCAGAGGGGCGTGGGGAGGGGCTCCTTATTTTCATCTAAAGTAACAGACAGAGAATCAGCACTTTGGAAACAGGGCTGAAACAGAGGGGATTATGGGTAATGCTGCAATGATCTGTTTGGTGTTTCAGCCAATCAGAGACAGGCTCTGTATATATCTGAGACCTGTGATATATTGATGAAAAACAGTATAATAGGGGACCTTTAAAAGCAAAGAGCCCCCATAATAACCCCCCATGCTCTGACCTTGGGCTGCTGGTAGTGCTCCATAGACATGGTGATGACGTTCAGGCCGATGATGATGCTGATGAAGAGGTCCAGGTAGGTGCTGGTGCACAGCTTGTGGATGACCAGGCGAGTGGGGGAGTAATCTGAGTAGTAAGGCTTACTCTGAGCTTCTGTTGGAAGTGGGATATAGTGGGGGGGAAGAGGTGAAGGTAGCGGGGGTAAGAGGAGGAGGATGAGGGGGAGGTGGCGTTCAACAAATGAGATAGGACGTAATATACTGGGAAACGTTACAGTAGAATTGCTGTGTTCAAGACTCCGAAGCTGCTTTCAAAACAAGAAGGTTAGTGAAACACAACTCCTGTCACTCAAGATGGCGGACTCACATTAAGAGATAAGTACAGAGAGATGTGAGGAGATGGAGGGAGGCGGATCAGATAACGGAGAGAGAGAAAGAGAGACTCCAGCCAAGTCAGATTGTTTAATTCAATTGAAGTCAGTTAGTTAAATTAAGGTTCAGGGTCACGCGTTAAACAAACCCCTTATCATCTGCTAAGCATTGTCCCTTTCCTACCTCATCCCTTCACCCCTTCTTCCTAGGCCTCTTCCTGACAGATACCCTCCCTCATCCTCATTCACCCCCTACACTACTTACCTCCTGTAATTCAATCTTTAATTGACATATTGTTGTGGCATACACCTTGTTAGTGACCTCTACTCTGAGAGAGGACGTTTGCAGATAACAAGGATTGCCCGATATGTGTGTAAGTGTGTGGTAAACTTCGTGGAGAAAACGATATTCGGCCATCTCTCCTCTCTCCTCTCTCCTCTCTCTATAATCATTACCTGCCTCCCTTTATCTCTTCCACTCCTCTCAGGAAAAAAGATCACAACACAGGAGAAACCTTTTCCCACACTCATCCATCACTTCCATCCAGAGAGGAGGGAAAGATGGATGGATAGGGAGTGAGGACGAGGGAGAGAGAGGACGCTTAATCACTCCATCAGTGAAGGAGAGGCTGGAGGTCACACAGGGGAAATGAAGCTGGTCCTTTGGGTGTTTCCACCAATCCCAATCTGCCCAATTAGCCCAGGTGTGCTGTGCTGGAAATATTCCCATGAGAGTGCATGTGTGTGTCTGGAGTTTTCCCTGTAGTGTCGGGGAAACCCCACCCTCATAGATCAGGGAATAAGTCAGGAGAGAAGAGTAAACAGAAACCACTAACTGAATAACTTCCCTATTTTAAATGGGGCGAAGCCTGCGAGCTGGTTCAGGCAGTCACCTCGAGCACCAATGATACATTAACACGTGACGCACCTCGTCCCTCTTATAACCAACATTTTTTGGGGATTGAAATTGAGCTCTTGCACTAAACCCTATCGCAGACTTACTACAGTATTTAGTTGCATCTGATGCCGTGTTATCATTCCCCCAAAATAGAAAAAGCCTGCACCTTTATGAATAATGTATCCCCTCTGTTTGCTAATCAGTCACCGATAGGTCGTATCGACATGACCTGCGATTGCTGTCATCCCAAAACAGTTTAGCCATGATACATTATGATGTGTTCAAACACCAATAGGAAAGTCTAGCTTGTCTATCTTGGATTATTGTGCTTCCTTTGTGACTTAAACAAGGAATCACAGATTTTGAACATATAAAGCAGGGGTGTCAAACTCAAGGCCCGGGGGCCAAATCCGGCCCGTGACTTCATTTTCTGTGGCCCCACAAGAGCTCGCAAAGAATATAATATGTTTATTATACGGTTACGTGATGATTTACAGAAGCACGTTGCCCATAAACTACATGTCCCACAATGCATCTCAAATGTGCCTTTTTCTCAGAATTTGACTCTTATTTTAAATGTTACTTTTTTTAAATGTCACTTCTGTTTTTTGACTTTTTTTCCAGCTTTTCTTTTTAAATCATTTTGTGACATTCTCACTGAAGAGACTTGCAATTATTTGCCCCAGACTTCTGCTTTCAGACGTATTATTAAATAAAGGGTGGGTGGCAATACTTGTTGAGGAGTATATCATTTAGGGTTTGACATTTTGATTGTTTATTCTTTAGATACATATTTTCTACTATCGATATGTATATATATTTATGGTATTTTATTCAATTTTGTACATTTTTAAACCAACTTGCCTTGTTTACATGCTGCTGTAACTAAACCTTTTCTCAATTAGAGATCAAATAAGTATATCTGATCTAATCTTATCTAATTAAAATAGTACATTTTGTGTAATGTACCTTTCCCATCAGTTCAATGGACTCCTCTGAGTTTCTACTTTACATAGTGATACCCGTCTTACTAAGTTATATTTCCTTCATATTTGCTGTTTGTTTTGTATCAATGAAACTCATGAAAAGGTTGATCTATGAGCTGCTGTAAGTGAAACAACTGAGCAGAAAGTTAAATCTGAATCCAATAACAGCATTGTTATGAAGTTAAGATTGTTTCATAATCAGTTATTGTAGTAACTTTAGGAAAAAAGACCCGTGAAATGAACGGTTAAATGAGCAAGAACTGATGATGTTTGGCAGAGTCCTGCACCGAGCTTCACATTAATTATTCTACAATTGTTTCCAGGGTCCTCTTTGCTGAAAGCTAATCCTACGCCTGCTGGTAATTATTGATATTGACAACAGGGGGGGTTGAACCTGAATACTGGAGGTAACATCTGAACCACAGGAGAACCTCTGCTGGAGTTTGACTGCTGCTGAGATGTGCGTGCCACAAAGTGAAAAATAATTTGGCTTCTGGTGTGCTCGGTCTGACTTTTCAAACAAATGCACTCAGACGAGATGACACCTGTGTTCCCCTTCGCTGCAGAAACACTTTCTCATCCCGTCAGCTGCTTTTTTATTAACAAGGCTTTTACTTTTTCACCATATGGCCCATCGAGAAGACAGTGATAAAGCAGGTTTAAAGCACCTTTGGGTACGTCTGGGCATATGTCTTTGAATTAGGGCAGTAAGGTGCAACCCATGTGGGATGCAACATGTTCTCTGGGAGTTCCTATTTACCAGACCCTCTATCATCTCTGGATGAGCCCACATTAGTTTCACTCTGTTCTACTTACTGTCTGCAGGTGCACAGATAACACTAGTCCCTTTGTTTCCCCTCATTCATCTTCCCGAGGCCACAATATGATTATTTTGCTGCTTTGTTTTAGTAGATCAAGTCATATCTTACACTGCGATTTCTAGTCTTGTTTGTTATACCTGTCTTAGTCTATTGTTTATGACTGTTTTTCTTTTCTTTGTATTGTTTCTGTTCTGTTTTTACATAAAGCGTCTTTGAGCATTAGGAAAAGCGCTATAAAAATCCCATTATTATTATTATTATTATTATAAGACCCCAGGAACTGCGCCAGCAAATTATGGAGTGGCCAAACGGCGGTACTACAACTTATGTGTCAGTCCGTGACTTCATTGGGCCCAAAAGGTTTTTTCACATTGACTTACATCGGGAAATAGGCGTCTGTAAATCAGCGGTTTTTTGTTGTTCTTGATAAAACAACTACTTAGTATGAACAGGAACATTTAACTGAACGCTGCATCCAGTTCTCTTCATACATCCATGAGTTTAGCTTGTTTTAATTTGACTTTCTCTTGGCTTTTTAAAGTCTTAATATTATTGATTTTGTGTGAAGCACTTTGAATTGCCTTGCTGATTAAATGACCTTGCCTTAAAACGTTCTACTTTTTCTCTTAGAACGGTATATGCTCTCCTATATCCACTCTCTGACAGTGCTATAGAGAGGCCCCAGAGGTGAATACATTATCGGATAACTGGGGTGAGACCGGTTCACTTCCTCCCTAAAGAAGTCATTTGAAGAAGTAAGTGAGCATTGCCCTCAGTTTTCTGGACGGGGCAACGAGGGCGAAACCGAACAAGACGTTGGGGAATAAGGAGAAGAAATGGAAATAAAGAGCAAGTCAGAAAACTTTTGTCTAAAACTCAACTATTCTCTAGAGAGGAATGAAGCGAGGGAAGGAAAGGTGAACGTTTAGGAAGCTGAATTACTCGTCTCTCCTGTACTCACTTTGAAAAGAGCACAGTCGCTCTTATTAATGAGGAATGGAGGTAATGCTTTGAATCATTCTGGCATCATAACGTTTGTGTAGGAGGAAATATATTTAGTAGAATAAGGAAGTTAATATGTGTTTTCTTCTTCACTGAAGTGGCAGCGTCCTCTCCCCATCCCCATATTTCACACCAATTCTGTTCACACTTATGAGACCCTCCAGGACAATCTTCTCATGGGGACGTAGATCTCATTATATTCATTAACTGCACTTCTCGCAATTTCTAAGTATGTATTCTTTTTGGTTCGTGACCCAATTGGAATACATGTTGTCTTGGCTGATGTCCACTGGATCTCGCTGCATCTGTATTGGTTACTTTTGATGAATACGTTTGCATTTCTGAAGCAGGGAATTCACTTATGAGTGTAAATAAATGTATATCTGATGATGCATTTCATTTGTTTCTGGGGTTTTCTTAAAAGCAAGGCTTACATTTCCTGTAACAATATCGTTATTTTGTCGTCTTATTGACACACAGCTAACATCTGAAAGGACATTTATGTACCTGTATAGTGTTTAACAGCCCGATCACAATACCTTGTTTCATTTACATGTTTTTCTGCTTCTGTTATAACGGAACGAGTATGAAATTGTGATTTTACCACCACTCATAAATACTACACGTTAACCAGCCGTCGTTCACACGCTCCTGCACTGCGTTGCTCATAAAATCATTATTTGTATAATTATCATAAAGTCACTGACATTTAAAATGAGTGATTACAGGAGGCGGAAAAGGGTGTTTTCTTAACGCCAAACATCCCCCTTCACTGTGGAGGTTTATTATTATTCTGTGAGACAAGCGTGGTGGAGATGAAGACGTAAATTAAAGTATTAAAATACTGAATTTACACAAATAGGCTTGACTATTTACAAGAATCGGTCGTGAGGTAGTGCAATTATTTAACTGAGTTAAAACAAAGCTAGGGTTAAATGAACTGCTAACCAACGATGTAAGAGTTCTCCTTTACTTAAAGTGGACCTATCATGCTATATTTGAATAATATAGTGTAGGACCATACCTATATAAGGCATATTTATACTTCTTTTTTTTCAAAATACCAAACAGATCAT